CCGTTGAGAGTACAGATATATTTGAGGCCACAGTTGGACTAGTCTTATTTAAGTCCTGCTGAAACTCATTCATACGAGTATTGAAGAGTTCTGACATAGCTGACAGTGATCCTTTGAGGGCTTCCATGGTTTCGTGTAGTGTTAGCAAATTAAGGAAAAAATATATCAAGGAATCAAGGCTGGTAAACAGATGATTATTACATATATATTTTACACATTAGAATATCCTAATTTCTATTTTTAAAATATAAATTACGCGAGACTGATCACAAACATGTGTTACTTATTTCACTCCTACCCCTTATATATACTTATATAACTGCTTACACAGTTATAAGTACCTACCGTATGTAAATGAATATTATCTATGTTAATTTTACGACATTCGTGTATTGAAACCCAAAAAGCATTGAAGCTACCGTTTTCTGTGATGGATGAAGTATCTACATAGGACTACCAGGACGCGAGTCCTACCCTCACTTATCCGGTTACCTACAGTTCACATGAATAAAAACCTTATAAAGTCGACGAGAAACTAAACAAAGAAATTTAAATCCACTCAGTTCTATTACAAAAAGATAAACGTTGTTATTAGTAATATATCTCGCTTTCCGTGCCGAAATAGGATATGTGCGATAAATTTATGTTCTGAAGCACGATTTATTTAGTTTCAGTCAGATATATATATATATATATATAGTAGAGCGTACGAACTTCGTTTATTTATACCCATTAAAAATCTTTGAGAAATGCAAAAGTGTGTATAATATTAAAATTAAGAAAAAAAGAAATTTTTTTCAGGAAAAACATTTATGTCACTCAACTTCGATCAACAATACGAACTAGATATCGGGTCGGTGCAAGAAATGCATCTAAGTAAATAACAGCGCACATGAGACATGAGCTCTTGTTTCGTTTAGTTCACTTGAAACACGGCCAATGTAAACACGTGTCACAATGCCGCAATGTGTATTTAAAAGTTGCAAGAATAATGCCCGAAAAAGTAATTTAACGGCCGGAGTGTCTTACTTTCGGTAATTACATGTATAATATGTTATATTTTAAGCTCTAAACTAACAAATAATATCATATTTTAAACAAAATTACCGATCAAAACCACCCCTACAAATGTTTTGTCAATGTTGACCGATACACGCGCAAACATTTGCAAAACAGAACAACATGGACGCATGAAGTAGATTTGTATTGTAATAATATTTAATAATTCGTTACCAAAACTTTAAATAATGGTAATTGCTACTTTTGTCTTTGTTTGTGTAATTCCAATAGATACTTAGATTTTTCTAGCTTTCCTAGCTTTCTTCCCCGGTCGAGCCGACCTATTAGTGCTACAACTATACTACTATAATTATATTTTTTTATTTATAATTATAAATATAATTATATAATTGCAGCGTGGTTCTACCACGTTTTAAAATAATGCAATAGGCGATCTTATTGCTGACAGCAATTTCTTCCAGTCAACCAATAAATGGACAGGATTACATGAAGAGTAGGGAAAATTGGTGTGATAAAAAAGAATACACATATTTATATTTATATATATATATATATACATATATATATACTATACATAGATACATACATACTACGAACATATATACATACAAAAACTAAAATAGATATATATTGAATTAGTTAATTAAATACAATTAATATACTACATACTATATTATATTTAATGGCTAGTGTGCAAAGTATGTATACCAACAATCATAAATGCCCAAAACATATAAATAATTTTAATTAAACTTATGATCATGTTATAAATTATTTTAGTGTTCAACGCGACTCAATACTTCCTGGACCAAATTCGAAGAAGAAAACAGAAACATAGCAAAATGACGTAGCTCGCAAGGAGAAAAAGAACTTTATTCGTTACACCTTAAGGTTGATTTTACACCAAAGTTTATTTAATTTATTATCTTTTCATTTCCAAGTGATAGGAGTATTGTATAGCTTTGTTCTTTTTTGTGACTATAGTTCGGCAGTTCAGAGAATGCGTTCCTGACACCTATCAGTTAGTCACGACTAGTGATGGGCACAACATAACACTGAGTTCGTTACCGTTCCTCCAAAGTGAACTGCCGCGTTATTTTTAAGATTATTTTCGTTTTAAATTGGCGGAATCATTTAAAATTTATATTTTAGTAATTTAAGTGGAAATAAAAAAAGGTAATATTAATATAATAAAATTGTTTTATTTATTCTTTGTTACAAGTACTGTATTTCTATGCAATAAAGTACATTGAATTGAATGTGCGTACAGAATATTAATCAGACTCCGATTCGACTTGAGGAGGTGGTGTCTTCATCATCATCTTCGCCTACATGTATAATTATATTATTATCAATCCTGATATCTCGGTCAAAATGTTCCACAATCAGGTTTTTAGTCTTCTCAACAACCTTTGCCCAGTTATCTCTTGTGACTTCCCCGCAGGCTTCTTTTAATAAGGTCATCATATTTTTCGTGCTGAATGGCGGGGAAGTATTGTGGCGGGCGGCGTAACCTTTTATTTGCGCCCAGATTAGCTCAATCGCGTTATATTGGCAATGATACGGTGGAATTCTTAGAACGCGATGACCGTACTCCAGAGCCAGTTCATCGATTTCGTATCGCACATTTGCCGCTTTATTTTCTTTAACTAATTTAATTAGCTCTGGTTTTAGCATCTGCACATTTGCGTCAATGCCTTTTGCTTGTAACCAAGCCACCATTTCTTCTTTTTCATTAGCTTGGGTAGGTGTTTTCTGTATTTAAACCGAGTGATACCAAGCATTATCCATGAATATTACAGAAGGCTCTTGTAGGCTGGGCAAAAGCACGTTCTGGAACCACTCTTTAAATGTAGTGGCACTCATTTCCTCGTGGTAGTCATTTGTGGTTTTTGATTGAAATGCCAGTAACGCGTTCTCCACAAAGCCGTATTTTGCAGAACCTGCGTGGCATATAATCAGACGGGCCCCCTTACCCATTGGTACTTTCGACGTCAACACTTGTGTATCATCCGTTCAAGAACGGGAAACCGTGTGATTGGCGTTTAGCCATGTCTCGTCAATGAACACGACATTATCCCAGTTATCAATATTTATTGCTTCTCTCAAAAAACTTATCCGTTTTAAAATTATGTCGTATCGTTCTAATAATTTTTTTCTTTTGTCTGTTTTTTTATACGAAAAACCAATATCTTTTAAGATTTTGGTTAAAGCAGTTTTACCCTCGCTAAACAGTCCAGCTTCTCTTAACGAAGTCAAATTAGAGCTTCTTCCTGTTGAGATATTCATTTCTGAAATAGTAACCATATATTATATATATATATATATATATATTTTATTATATATATATATATGTATATATTTCTGATTATATCGGCGTCAAAGGTGTCAATATCTGTCACGGGTTCAGTTCTACGTTTCTTCTTCGGAGTACGTAAAATATTATCTTCCGTGCCAATAGAGCCGAACTTTTCTTTATTAATATTTGTTTCGTTTGCTAACTCCAAGCGCCTGAGAGACGCGTTCTTGTACTTGTTCGACAGGTAACAGAGGTCCGCCATTTTGCCGCTCCCGCTCAAAGTAATCTTGAAGCTTGATGATTAACTCACGGGCTCCACTTTTCAATGTTTGTCCACGTTTAGGCATTATTATGCACCAAAAGTAAAAAAAAACGCAATACAAAACACAATCGAAGTCCGATTTAGCGCCGATGTCAGTTTGAAAAGCAGAAACAGTCAATGGCGTCGCCAGCCGATGGCGCAGGGGGGGGGGGGGGGGCAAGTTGACTTTACATACTACAATTCATACTTTTCTCATTCTCTATGAATGAGAAAAGTTAAAATATTATAATGGTCGTTGTTTGTTTATATTAGGTAAATTAAAATATAATTTTCGGGGATTCATTGTAAACTTCTCGACCACTTTATTATTAAAATCTTGTAAGTTTCCATGTATAAGTTTTCGGTGCACACTCATCATGGCCAAACCATTGAGGCGATTTTCACTCATAGTGCTTCTTAGCCAGGTTTTTAGTCTCCTGAGGCTGCTAAACGATCGCTCTACCGTACACGTCGTGCATGGAAGAGCGATCAAAATTTTCAACGCTTTTTCCGTGTCGGGAAAGAAGGTTTTTTGCTTCTTTTAGGATATCAACAACGGTTTGATCTGTTGAGTTTGGTTTATTATGCCAGAATTGCTGCCAAAGCTCAACTTTATGTTTGGTAAATTATAAAACTGAGCGATAGTTTCACAAGTTTCTGTGAGATTTTCGACTGACATCGTTTGCATTTGTGCGGGGTGTAATTTAGATAAAGCAAATGATGGAGTATTTTCTTCAGCAAAGCGTGTTTCAAGCGATGTAATAACGGAGTCCAAGTATGGTATTATTAATGATCTTTTCCAGAATTCTGAAGGGCTTTCTGCTGGGTGATTGCTTCGATGACGTTGTTTCCCAACAATGCGCGGCATTGGAGTGATATCCTCCTCCAGGCCGACTTTCTCCGCAACAACAGTAGCATCCTTTATAATGTCATCTGTGACTCTTTCGGGATTATCACGGTGGCTCTTAAGCAATTGCAAAATGCGTTTGACGTGTTGCGAGGCCTTAACCACATCCAAAGCTATGGATTGGAGTGCGTTGACAACAGGTTCTAACAAAGCAGAGTATTTAGCTATCAAAGTAATACAAAGTATAAACGAAATTTTGAAAGCAGCCGCATGGAGTTGAAAGGCATTTTTTCGAGTAGCACCCTTCACGCGATAAGTTTTCTAAGGCTTCCAATATTACAGGAAAATTCTCCTTAAATACTCTGATAGTTTTATGTTTCTCACTCCATCTTGTTTCGCAGAGCCTGGCAATATTAGGTACCAATTTTCTTCTCAAAACAGATTCCCGAAAAAAATTAATAATATCTTTAGTGGTTCCCATGGTGTTTCGAATTTCAGGAAGAATATTGAGATCATTTATTACCAGATTCAATTTATGGGACGAGCAATGAAAGAACAGTGCTTTGGTATATTTTTTTGCGAAGGATCGCTTGAACTCCACCGTCTTTTACGGACATCGTCGAACAACCGTCAAATCCAAAACCAACGCATTTATCAGCAGGATTAAGGTCTTCTTTTGTCAGAAACTCATCGATGCAATATGCAATAGATTTCGCATCCAGACCTTTCAGCTCAACAAATCCGACGAACATTTCTTGGACCTCATTGGCTTCCTCGTCAAAATATCGCAGCCCAATCGATAATTGTTCAGTACCGGAAATATCAGCTGTTTCGTCTGCTAACACACTATAAGCTTCTGCTTCTTTTACTTTTTTCACAATGTCTGCCTTAATAACATCTCCACAAATTGCGATAATTTCATTTTGAATAGCAATCGATCGATAGCTTGCATTCTTTTTCCCATGCTCAATGTGTTTCTTCAAAACTAAATCTCCCGCGTCAATTCGTAGCTTGTATAAGTCCTCGAGAATACCTTCGCCATAATGTTTTCCTCTCAGAGCTAAGTCGTGCGACCCGCAAAACGTAATGCAGGAAATAATAGATGTTATAATTTTTCGGTTTTCTTCAATAATGCCTCGGGAGTATTTGTTCAGTTGTAAATCTACAGGCACACTTCCAAGAAATGATTTAGCGGCTTCCAGTGCCATCTTATGGAAGTGGGTTTCCATGTGCTTTTTGCAATGCTCGTGAATATCTTTGAACTTACAAAACGGCCTTATGATAAATGACCCTAATACGCCTCTAAAAGAATTTGGATTTGGCGGGAACAATGTACAATATTTACAAAAGGCTCCTTTTTGGTGCCTGGAATAGGCCAACCATGGAGAGTACGTTTCCAACCATGAATAATTAAATTTCCTCTTCAAATGTTTAGCGTCTTCCGCAAAGTCATACGTCGCAGACGGAGACCAAGTGTTTTCAAGCAATTCTTTCTTCATTTCAGTCGATAACATTGATGCTTGTCCAATAAATTTACCGATGTCATTTTCGTTGCAGTCATTTATCGAAGAGTTGGGAACTAAGTTCGGTTCTTTGGATGTGCTAGGTCTCGCCAGGTCACCCACGGAATCATCGCTGTCACTGCTTGCTCCTTCAGGTTTCTTTCTTTTTTAAAACTGCAAAATAAAATATTTGAAATAGCAACAACTTCTTCTGGTCCGCAATTCACATTGAAAGCATAAATGCCCTTCAAGACGGCGGCAGGCTCGAGCCCGCGCAAGGACTAGCGTCAATGATATTTTTTATATCAACAGTCCTAGCTATTTCGAGCGGCTTAACCGCCGCGGCTATGCTCGCGCGGTCTCGAGCATCCTCGCTCGAGCACTCTAGAGCGGGCGCGACGACACGCACGCACCGGAGTCTCAAGCATACGCGAGCCGACTGTGGTTCCGCGAATCGGCACTGCCGATATTCATTCATACAATTTTCTACTTTGAGCTATGTTAATACGGTCCTATTTTCGATTGAACCATTAAATTGAGCAATTTTCCTTTTGGTTTAAACTGACGACCCTTAAGAATCGGATATCGTGCCTAGAAATGGATCTTTGCGATTTTAAAAACCGATGCAAAATCAGCATTTATAATCAAATCAATTGACGTTATTTTACGGACGGAAAATATGAAAGCTAAACGCAAGTGATACTCACCAAAAAATTTTCTGATGTCCATATTGATTATGTGGTCACAGCAACTATTTAGATGTGATAATAGCGCACAAAACAAAGTAAAAGCGGGCAGTGGCAACGCTAACGCACGAATAAATGACAGGCAGACGATAAAACAAAGGCGGCTGTGGGGGGCGCGGGCGCCACGCGGTTACATGTTGCTTTGCTTCCCCACTCCCTCTCTCCCGCTTCAACGATAGAGTAGAGCAGAGCGCAGCGTAGTACGGAATATTAAGAGTGGAATTGGTGAATTCATTCGAGTTTCGACGCATGGAAATGATTGTTCAAGGCTTGAACTTCAAGCAAATCAACTCAAATAGTAGGACTTTGGTTGCATTATATTTGGCAACTTTTTTAGAATCTCTAGGGGGGCAGCTGGCGACGCCAAGGCGACGCCCTTGGAAACAGTCCATTAAACGAAAGCCGGGTAATCAAATAAAAACAGATCGAAAACACTTGAAGAACGTGGTCTATGCGCACGAAACGATAACAGACGACTGTTTTAGCGTCACAAAATGGCGGCCCATAACGCCATTTGGGGTTACCATTTTCAACCTAAATATAAAAATGCTACTTTCTTTCGCGCGTTCGGTTTGGTCGTAGTTTTATTTTTATATTTAATAAAAGTTATCTTATAGTCCATTATTTTCAAATTCTTAAAAAGAAAAACAAAACGTATTATTTTATAAATTATAACTGTATAAGAACAGATTACGATACTGTTATTTCCTGTTATTGTTAGCATAGCACTACAAATATAAAGCGCTGACATAACCTTCTAATAGCGCAGTATAGATTTAGAAAAATATTGTTTACCAAGTTATTTGACACTCAGTTTGGCACAAAATTATAACATTCATTGATTATTGATATAATAATGTTGTTTTAATGCTCATCAATTGTTAAAACGGTAAACAACCAGCAAAAATATTTTTATCGTAACTGCAACGCCATTACATTACGTCGTCAGTTCAATCGCGACATTTCAGGAACGCATTTTCGCTCGGTTCGCAAAGCACTTCTCTCCCTGGACATCCATAAGTCGAGTGGGCCTGACGGAATCCCCCCAATTGTGCTGAGGACGTGTGCTCCAGAGTTGGCACCGGTTTTAACGCGTCTTTTCCGGTACTCCTACTCCCTAGGCGTAGTCCCAAAATCATGGAAGACGGCTTTCGTCCACCCGATCCCTAAAAAAGGCGACCGCTCAGACCCGTCCAACTACCGGCCTATCGCCATCACCTCCTTGTTCTCCAAAACAATGGAGTCCATTGTAAACTGCCAGCTCATGAGGTACCTTGAGGATCACCAGCTGATTAGTGACCGCCAATACGGTTTTCGCCGTGGTAGGTCAGCTGGTGATCTTCTGGTCTACCTAACTCACAGATGGGCGGAGGCAGTAGAGTCCAAGGGGGAGGCATTGGCCGTTAGTTTCGACATTGCGAAGGCCTTCGATCGGGTTTGGCACAAAGCGCTTCTTTCGAAGCTCCTTCCTATGGGCTTCCCGAGAAATTGTGCGAGTGGAGCACCAGTTTGCTTGCAGATCGGAGCATCAAGGTCGTTGTAGACGGTGCAAGCTCCGATTGCAAGCTTATTAATGCTGGTGTGCCACAGGGCTGCGTGCTATCGCCAACGCTGTTTCTTCTGCATATCAATGATATGTTGCAAACCCTTAGCATTCATTGCTATGCAGATGACAGCACTGGTGATGCTCTTTACACCGGCCGAGCCAATATTTCTCGGGAAAACGTCTCTGAGTGCCGGGACAAACTTGTGTCTGAAGTCGAGTCTCTGCTGGACAGAGTCTCGGATTGGGGGCGACTAAATCTAGTCCAGTTTAACCCCCAGAAGACACAAGTTTGCGCGTTAACCGCTAAAAAGAACCCCTTTGTCGTATCCCCTCAGTTTCAAGGCACTCCCCTTGTTGCCTCAGCCAGTATCGGAATCCTCGGCGTCGACATATCGAGTGACGTGCAGTTTCGTGGTCACTTGGAAGGGAAGGCCAAATTGGCCTCTAAAAAGCTTGGCGTGCTCAGCAGAGCGGGACAGTATTTCATGCCGGCACACCGCCTGCAACTTTACAAGGCGCAGGTTCGGCCGCTCATGGAATACTGTTCCCATCTCTGGGCTGGGGCTCCCCAGTACCAGCTCCTTCCACTTGACCGCATCCAGCGCAGAGCGGCTCGAATCGTCGACGACCGAGTGCTTTCCGATCGGCTCGATTCACTGGCGCTGCGAAGAGATGTTGCATCTCTTTGCGTATTTTATCGCATCTATCACGGGGAGTGCTCTGAGGAATTGTTCGGATTTATCCCAGCCGCCAATTTTCGTGAACGCACTACGCGGCAAACGTCCCGATACCATCCACACCATCTGGATGCTTGGCGGTCCACCACTGTACGTTTCAAAAGGAGTTTTCTTCCGCGTATAACCTCTCTGTGGAATAGTTTACCACCGGTGATTTTTCCGGACCGATACGACTGGGGACCTTCAAGAAAAGAGCTTACTCCTTTCTAAAGGGCCGGCAACGCACCTGCAATTCCCCTGGTGTTGCGGTTGATCATGGGCGGCGGTAGTCACTTAACATCAGGTGAGCCACATGCTCGTTTGCCCCCTCTTCTATAAAAAAAACGGCTGAACTGTAATGATTGTAAGATTTGTGACTTTATTACTAGATGCGATGGTTGTAATTAGGTTGAGCTTAAAACTATTTTAATTTTTTGTCTCATTTCTTTAGTAAACAAATGTAGCTGTTTAAGTTTATATTCACGCGGACAGTATTTAGCTATGATTTTGTACATGACCCGTTATCTACCTAGTTGGTATTGTTGATCGAAGTTACTCAACATACATATTATTAATTTTTTTCAACTAATACAACTATAATGTGGGCTATAATCAGTAATTAGTGTTGTTATCTTTAGCTTTTCGAAATGCTTCCAATCTCCTTGACATACTCCTATAATCTAGGTAGTGATCAATAAAATCTTGAGAGATTTCGTTCCATTCTTCCTGTATTGCGTTTTTAAGATCTCTAAAATCAGCGGGGAAAGGACGTCTTTTCTTAATTGCCTTTCAAGCTTATCCCATACATCCTCTATAAGGTTTAAACCGGGCGAGTGAGTTGGCCACCCCAGAGCATTGATATCAACGTTTCGAAGGTATTCGACAACTACGGCCGCAGTATGGGGGCGTGCATTATCATGCATAAAAACAAATACATCTCCTGTAAAGGAGGCAAATGACACTACAGTTCCTTCCAAAACCAGTTGGAAAGAACTCAATATTACGTAATAATTACATAAAATAAATGAAATTAAAAAAAAAACATTCTAAAACTTTCTTTTTTTAATATAATTTGCTAATGTTTGAGGCCAATGGTACAATAATTACAACAGGAGTAATTAAATTTTTTTTGCGTTTCAATGAGTTCATAATACAAGATTAGAATACTAATGGACACATGAACAATGCTACTTTCTACTTTAGTAAATTGAAACGCCGTTTTAATGGAAACTTTTTATATGATTACAGCAGAGGTATCGTAAATAGGAAGTTTCATGAATATTGCATTAAAGGTGTGGTGCATACCTTAATTGTAGGAACCTTCTGTAAAACTGATGAGTCAAATAAGTCAAGGTCAAAAAGATATTTTATTCAGTGTCTTGCTAGCTTTTCTCTTGATTTTAATTTTCTGTTTTCCCTTGTTTAAAAAAATATGTACTTGCATACAAGTGATACGATGATAGACAAGTGATACGAAGTGGTACGATCGTGAAGTAGTAATAAGTGCAGGTGCAGATAAGATACGTCTAGGAGATGGGAAATATATATCTTGAAGTGCTACACTACTTTCTTCATAAAAGTGAAGAAACAAACGAACGACGAAAAGATATAAAATATAAAAAGTAGTATCATTTATTTATTGGCCTTACGAGTTTATTGCACAATTCAAACACAAATTTCCTGTCGAGGTCATACAAGGTCATAGCGGGACGTCGTCAATGAGGGCTAACAATCTTCCGCTCGACAGATATCGCTATTTGACACTGAGGTTAAGTTTTTTGTTACACATTGTCATTCAATTGAGATGTTAGTTTTAATTAAAGGTTTATCAGTTTCTAGAGTATTGTATTAATACACAAAACAATGCCTCAGTAATTTGCTCTTTAATTTTTTTCACATTTTTACTCTTTTTTAATTTTCATACTTTATTGAATATCTTTGGTTTGCTTTATTTATTTTTAAACTAATATTATATATATAATAATATAT